TAACAATATTCGCCAGCTCGCAATTATCATGGAATCGGGTCGAGGTTGCGTTTCATTAGAACTCCATAAGGCTTTATTAACGGTGAACGACGATAAACGAAATTTTTCGTTCGCTTGGCTGCTGCAGACTGTGGAAAAAGAACAGCTGGAAAAGAAGAAAACGACAAAACATTTATTCGACGAAGTTTGAAGAGTATTTGAACACCGAACTACTCTCGCGATAGCATCAAAGTATTTATCGTCTTCCTCTTGCGAGTTTCATAAATATATTTTAAAACGCTATACCCGCTTTGAAGATATTTGCTTGTATGTAAATTATTTATCAAACAAACAGCTTTAATTATCCTCGATTTTGCTGCGGTTTGGAGTAGCGCAGTGCATATTGGGTAACGAATCGTGACAAGACTTTTATTTTCGCCACTGTCGAGCTCGGCCGAATCATATTCCGGGTCATTTATAAATGTTTAATATCACTTGGACGGTTGAAAATTACCGCTACGAACGTCACAGAAAAAATTGCCACGTCGCTGTGTGTAATAACCACGATTTATGCGGAGCAAAGCAAGAAATACTAAGACTAATGGGATCGTTTGAATCCCGCGAAACACTGACGCTAAGCACGAGAAGCTTGGCGTGGTATCGCTGCCGCATAAATAAACGATAATCAGAATCGCGGATACGGTAAAAGTTATTAATTAACTGGCAGAGAACGTCGCTAGAATTTGTGGTTTTGCCATCCGAACGAACGAAAATGTATTTTTGCCCCGTGGCTATTGTCGCACGGCGTTGTTGCATTCCACGAAAATTAATTCTCGTTCGACTAATTTTCCTCAATGGTAGCTAGTTGGCCCGCTTTTTTAAAACAAACACGAACCGTGTTAACGAATCGATGTTGATTTAACCGCGAGAAAAAGGAAAGTCGAATGTTTAGCCATTTTAACGAGAAAGAAAGAATAGTTAAATTTCAGGAACACCCTTTTTTGGCGTCCTTTGCCAAGAAAATCAATTACAGAATTGATCGGGCGAGAAAGTCGTCAGAATCTTTTCGCGAAATTGGAAACGTCGCACGTTCGACCATCGTCCCGAACGATAAAATCTCTTTCTCGAGGGGCAAAAGAAATACTATCGAGTGAAAATCGAGTCGTACGAGAAGCGAGGACGAACACAAATGGAAAGTCATTATGACTGGAGACTTTTAGGATTCGGTGATCAATCATAATTTGGTTCCGCCTGGAGAACCTTCCAAATCGCCTGTCGAGAAACGAATAAGAAGCTACCGAGACTGTGTAACATTGTCGCGAGACGAACGATCCATTACGTAAAATTCTCGTTTCTTTTTTTTCTTTTGACTCGATGAAAATCTGTACCTAAGTTCTGGGTCGTTCGCTGATGCTCGCGAAATAACGCAACTCTCTCTCTCTCTCTGTCTAAGCCTTCTGTAACCGAAAGACAATATGTACCTACGTATCTAGAGGCCGACCTATAACGAAGAGACAACTCTCGGCGATCAACATTTCGAAATATTAATCTCACGCAATATTCCACGAAATACCCGTACGTGATTTTATTTCGTTTATTTATTTATTCCGGTTAAATGGAACAGGCAGTAAATAACGCGTATCTGAAAACACTTGGCCACATTTAAAAAGTAATCAACCACTTAAAACATTTCAAACATCGAGAAAACATTTCACTCGGTTATTAATCGTTGAAAATGAAAGAAGAAAGCAATTTCCGAGCGCCATTTCGGCAAATTCCGGTTGATACTATAAAATCTGGCAGAGTTGTTAAAAGTGAAAGATCAATGATAGAGAAAAGAAAAAGGAATTTCGAAGAGATTGCAAGTATTATCAGAGCCTCTGCTGACTAACGAGGAACCATCGTTTTCAAGGACGGATATTAATTATCTCTAGCACGAATAACGACGTCCAATTGTATAAGACGCTCTACTAATCCACCCTAAAATTAGAAAGTTTCCTTTGCTAATGAGAGTGGAAGTTTCTTGATCGTGCCTACTTCCATGGAAAATCAGCCAAGACGAGATAAAGGTGGAGGTAAGGTAAGAACGTAAGACGAGAGTGTACAAGCTTTCGCACATGCGAATGAAGACGAAGCACGCGTAAAAACTGGTGTATCCGACAGCTGGAAGAGAGCGTCACGCGAAACGAAAAATTACGAGCGACACCATCTTCCATAATATAGGAGCGGAGAAATGGAAAAGTATGTGTACGATAAAGGTTGCTCGTTCCAGAATGATTCTTAATATCGTGTGCATGATAAATGTCGAGTAAAGCGATGCAAGTAATATCGCGCATACTTATAGTATTGGAAAATTTACGTGTACTCCAAACGACCAGTTTTCCTTGTACGAATATTACAAAGTTACAAAGTATTGGAAAGTCTCAGAAACGACGATGTTTTCAATGGCCGTATTGAAATTTCCCTCTTTAATTATAAGATAACGTCTTCTCGTTTAATAATTAAAAATCAGAAAATCGACAAAGATCTTATTTATCGTGTTCTTATTTCTTTTCCTATTCTATTCTATTCAGTGAGAAAAGAACAAGCGTGGAGAGCGTGTCTCATAGGCTTTGCTAGCTTTGTCAGTGCAAAACTTATCCGACTACTCGTACACGTAATATTTGTATACGTAAATTATAAGAATTTTTATTTGCCCGTTGATAATCTCTCGAGGACGTTTATCGGAGGGTGAAAAGACGTGGTGAAAATCTTGAAGCGCGCAATTCTCAGGTTCCTCAGGCGATATTATCGTTAGAGGATTACTCTCGGTGGTTGAGGCGCAACATGGATGCACTGAAAACGGCTGGATAATATGGTTTCACGGTGGACTACAAATGTTACGATTCCACGGCCGACGGGTTTCAAAGGGGTAATGCGATAGAGCTGAAAGCCGCTACGTCGCACATCAATCATGCATACAGAGCGCGAACCAGCTTTACGGCGAATAGGCAAAAAAGAAACAGGGAGAAAGTAAAGGAGAAGCGAACGAGAAGGCGCTAAGTACTTCCTGAAAAAAAAGACGGAATCCAAGCGGAGAGAAATCGAAAAGAAATCAAGAGTGTGTGAAGTCTTGAACGATGCGCGTCACTGGTCTGGTAAATACGACTAAATATACCTTTAGGGAACGTTTTCATATACCGTTACGGTACATGAGCTTCTCTGATAGAGCAACTTTTTGGAAATAAATGATCGAAGCTGTTGAGAATTGTGGATCTTTGAAGCCGAAATAACGTTACAGGAACACTGAATTTACGCTTGGAATAGTTATTATTAGAATATTAGAATAGTTATATATTTATTTTATGGACGATTTCTTATATATTCATCGATGCACACTTGCACGCGTCTCGGCACTTTCTTCTATACCCGACTGTTAACCGACTGAATAGTTTACGTTTATCTGTTTTCGAGACGCCGCGCACACACATAGCTCCACACACTGATGCCCATATACAAGTATCTCTACTACGCATTTAACCCAGTCCAGCACAGAAAATTATACATATCTCGATAGAAACGAATAATTTAAATGTTATAAAATACGCGTGGATACTTTATACCTAGCGAGTCAATGGAAAGAAAGAATTCAGAAATAAGAGTCAGTCGTATGAAAAATGAATTGACCGAGTGGTAGTAAAAAGCGCTATGCATCCTTCTATCTAAAATTCTATTCTAAAAATAATATTCCGAGAATGAAATATTTCCCGCGAGAAATTGCAGCTGCTCTCTTTGAAGAACCTCGACGAGAAAGTATCTGCTGTAGAGAGGCTAAAAACGATGAGAAATAAAATCTTAAAGCGGAATTTCACACGGGTGGGAGTAATTGATACTCTTAGAAAGTGCCGCATAGTTTATGTTCATGCGGTATATTGATTTTCCAGGTTGTCGGTCTCTTTGTCTTTGAGTAAAGCGGTAGAATCTAATTCGTTGCGACAGAATTGACGCGTTAAACGAAGATGTCATTAGAAAAACGTCGCGGTGAGACTACGTTGTAGCTACCAGGCTTCGTCTCCGACGCCGATGAATGCGGTCTTTTACGCATTGTATGTACGCGTGTATGTCAAATATCCATTGAAACCTTTTCGCCGCGCTACGATTTCGCTCTCAGTGAAACGATGTACTTGGCTGAACAACAATGGCATATCTCGACAATGCTTGACACCTAGTCGTGATAAACCTCGTACAACCTTTCTCTCTTTGTAAAAGCCCCGCGCGTAAAGCGTAGAATTATCCATAACGCGTTTGCGTTCGCGAATCGCTTCGGCGATCGATAAATTTCGTTTCGACGCGCAATTTGCCACCATTACGTTTATTACACAAATAGTTAATTGATAACGATAAAATACTCTGAACGAGCCTTATGCAAATACGCTCGATCAAATGAAAAAAATTTTCGAGCAATTATAAATGGATATCGCGTAAAAATACAGACTCGATTTTACTGAGAATCGATAAACCTTGCGAGTCGATAAACTTTGAAATAGTCAATTAACATACGTCAAAGACCAGCCTAATATACGTCGATAATTTGCGCGTAAATCCTCTATCGATCGACTAAGCAGAACAAATTTCGGAGGATTATTCCGTCATCGTGTAATGAAACGTTCAAATATATAGCATCACGCAAACCGTCGAATCTCTCTGAACGAAAACGGAATGATCTCTGGATCTCTGAGTCGAACGTTAATTGCCGCGCAGATGTAAAATTATTAAGCTTACGATCCTCGTGACTACGAGGCTTCGAAATATAATTTTTAAATATTACCGTCGTCAATTTCTTAATCTCTAAACACAAATATACTGTTAGAAATGGTAATATATTAAATTCAAAGGTGTGAGTTACTTCGAACTGGGCACCAGAATGTCAGTCTCTCTAGCTCTTTCCATCGATATTAATTTAACGAGACGACGGAGACACGTTATACATTACGAAACGAATCGTTCGCGACAGGTGATAAGGTTTCGATGTTCTATTGCAGGAGGCGTTGGTGAAAAGATTAGGTCCAAATGCTCACGCGTTTACCATGGAAATCACGCCGTTAGCACCCCCGTCGGTGCAATTGGTGCCTGCTAAGGAATACAATGGGGCCCCCATTGGTACTAGCTACGACGTCAGAGCTTACGTAGGTGAGTAAACCGAGTCGAGCTTCGTTTACGGGGATAAAACAGAATTGGCCGAACCTTTACGAAGAAACGCGTGAAAACGATAGATCGCTCTTCTCACTGTGAAATTCGTTCATTTTGAAACTCTATAAAAGCTGTACGATATAAAAGAATCATTCAGCTATCCACACGTCGTGTTTCCATGTGAAATCACCAGGAAGATCAATAAAATTTATCGATTAAAAAGGTCGAATCGGTAAACGAGGGAGCAAAGAACGAATAAACGAACAGAAGGAAAAAAAAGTAAACGTCAAGCGTTGATCGATGAATTTACTCGCTGTTCATTGATTGAACTTCGTCATCGATTTCCCAGATCGTATTTCGTGTCTCCTGGCAGTAATGGCTTAGAATCACGGAGAAACTCTCGATTTACAAACGCCATGGTAGCGCGTTACGCCCACGTAGCAAATTAAATCGGGTCTTCTCGGTCGCGTTTTCCAAACCGAATCGTACGATCGAGCGATCGAACGATCGCTTCGAATTCCGATTACCCGAGAACAACCTTCCTGGCTTGATACTCCGTAAATAACATCGTAACTGCCTGCTAAACGCTGGACACGATGACATTTAGCTGAACGAGCGGACGAGAAGTTGCATCGGAAAACGACCGTCAGGATGGGTATCCGTGTCGTCCAGCGAACTACGAAGCCACCGTTGCCAGCTACCAGCGTATATAGCGTGCCGGTGTCAGCGAGTCCTTCTCCTGGATCCAGAGGTCAAGCTTGTAAAACGAGAGTCTCGTTCATGGAAAATGAGATCACAGAGGACGAGGGTAAGCTCTTTATTTCTGGATGAGTGGCACGAAGCATCAAAGTGTGTTCGGTTTGCTTTGAAGCTGATCGCGATTAGTCATTGCATACGGGCTGATCAATCATTTAAATCCCTGTTTAATTATCTGTGAAAGGCTATTTACGAATGTGTGTGTGCGAGTATGATTGGCGAGAAACGTTAGACAGGCTAAGTCTGCGATGGTCAGTCGATAAAGGACCGGCCAGATGTTCTAGAGGATCATCCTTGTGGTCGTTACGCGTTAACACTTTGACTGCCACGCCGAAATCACGCGTTTCGCTCAGGACGCCACGGCAGTATTTTTATATTTTTATTATTCAAAGCATATATCACGCGTTTCGCTCAGGACGCCACGGCAGTATTTTTATTATTCAAAGCATATAATGGCAAAATAATGATAAATCGACGATGTGAGACAACGTTCTTCCCCAATGGACCGTTTATCTCATTGGTGGTGGTCACGGATGACCGCCGTGGCGCCTTGGTAACAGTCGATCGCGACATATTGTAACAAGGCTTCGTTTATTTCAATAAAACATTCGCATTTGTTATTTCGTCGCAAGCAAAACGTACGGAATATATCGTTGAAAAGTGTAGAAGATATCAGTAAACGGTATTTGCTCGTTCTATGTATAATAACAAGGTATGTTCACACTTCTAACTTCAATTGTACGATCATAAAGCGGCGTTTACGATTATTTTCTAAGATGTGTTTGTAATAATAATCGTAAATTACCCCTCAAAGTAAATTACCCTTCTCATTTTTTTTTATAGATGTTCTAATAAAAACGTTTAATCGTTAAATGGGCACTTTTTATTTCAAAGTATCTTCTATTTATCGGTTATATTCGAAATGCCCTAACTGTCAATTTTCATACAATTTTGACAATTGTGAGAAGTTGAAGAGCTCCGGTCACCGATGACCACCGTGGCGTTACAGAAGAAACCGTGACCGGTCATATAGTATGACCAACGTGGCAGTCAGAGTGTTGATCGAGGAATGTAAGTTGACTCATCGCTTAGACACGACAAATTCATCGAGTCACATCTGACTTCTATTTTTCATGCTTCGCTTATTCCAACTTGTTACAAATCTCTAATTGCCTGTTTCAGAGAACGCAGGGCCACATGCTGCAGTGGAGAAACCGTTCTTATTGAGCGATGGACGCGTGGGTTTGGAAGCACGACTGGATCGTGCGATCTACGCTCACGGAGATCCAATAACTGTGCACGTCAACGTCAATAACAACAGCAGCAAAACTGTGAGGAGGATCAAGGTAAGGCGCATCCTTAGTCGCGCAACCGATTGTATTATGTATGAGCCGGATTACCGGGAACAGATTCGAATGCTAACAAGAGACTGATTGTTTGGCTCGAGAAGCAATTTGCGATTTATCCCTCCTTTATCCCTACCGCGAGTAACTTTTCGATAACTGAGCAAATTAAAATTACAAATAATAATCTGCGTCCTGTACGACGTGTGTCATTCGCGTACGTAACGACAGCTGATTTTAATAAGAATAGCCTCGACGAGATGCCAGATTATTAATTCATTTCGTAATTTTCAATCGTAAAAAAAAAGGAAGAAGAAAAGAAAGACAATCCACCATCGTTTGCGTCATCGTTAGTAGCCAAACCGCTTCACAAGCAATTGCTATAAAACAATGTTAATCATTTAACGCACACGCCGGTGATGTAAACGATTATTTTACGGATTTAAGAACCAAGATATCTTATACGTATACTAAACTACGCATATAACTTACAAAAACTATATTCGTCATCCATTTTCATTGTAAGGTGTGTTTCTTAGAATGACAAATTTAATCACCTTTATCGATAAACCGAAAAAATGTGTGCGTTCAGTGGGTTAAACCGTGGCATATCGAGTAAATAAAGTAATGTACGTACGATACGGCGGACCACGCGATTGCCTATTCTACTGCGCTTTATTGCTTCGCTCGGAGCACAAGGAAATAATCGAATACGAAATAGAATTCTCAAAAATTCGATCAAACTGGCTATCGTTAACCAACATTACAACAGAAATACATAGATAATGAAATAGGGGGTCTTCGAACGATAGGGAAATTTACATAGAATTTGAAAGCTCGAGGAATCCCTTCGAAGCTACATAATTATTTCCATCACGAAGACAGTTTCGCGTGAAATACGATGGTGCATAGTAACATTCACGGGCCAGAGAATATTAATTCGAGCAAAATTTCATTCGTAGAACATGCGCCCGTGATATAACTGTACATCGTATTCGAGGAAACCCGAAAATGGTCCAACTCGACACTGGATACCGACTCACGCTTTAATTCCAAAGTATTGGCGAATAGCGTATCGCGAAGAAAGTTCGAGTTACAATTACCTCTTTAAAAATAGTCGAGGATAGTATATCACCTGCTAGAAAACATAAAGAGATGCTAATAATGAACGACTTCGTCCGAAAACAACAGAGACAAATTTATTCTTTTCTCTCGTTTTAGTGGAATCCGATTGAACATTGTAATTTGTATGAAAAGATCAATTTTAACGAACGCTCCGGGATTCAGATACGATAAGAACGCTAAGAGATGTTCGAATCTTTGTAAAACAAATCGCTTGGAACCTAGAAACGTATGATAATAGAAACGATAAAACTTAATAGGAAGAAATATTTAGCGGTAAAATTTTTTACCGAAGTAGAGCAATTAAAAAATACGATATTAAAACAAAAATTCCATCGAGGCTTCGAAGAGCTATCAAATTAATGTTACAACTCGTGCCAAGTTTCCCAAGTTTCGAATACTTTTGTTCGCATATTTTTTAATCGTATAGAAAAAGCTAAAAAGTATAGACGAAATCGATCGGATTGTAAATTAGAATAATGAATATAAGAGAATTAAAGGTAGAAGAGGTGCGAAAGAATAGAGAGAATAGGGTTGGCTAGTGAATTCTCTCAGGCGACAGAAGGAGCCGAGAACGTAAAGCGACCACGTCCGTGTCAATTTCCTTTGCGCCACAGTTCATTAGCGAGTGTGACGAACATTGTTTGAAAACGAGAACAGACGGGTTCGATAGCGTGATGACTAGTGTACGGGTTCCGAATAGGTCCGCTATGTTAACTTTGTTCCGACAGTTTGACAAACAGACTGACACAGAGTAGACTCGACAAGTTACATACACTAGACTTAAAACACGTAGTCGTATTTGTTCTTCGGTTGGCAAATACCAGTCTTTCTACTAAATTAGCGTCATAATTAACCTGCCCTTTATTTTAAACGCAACGAAGCTTCCCTTGCATAATGTATAAAACGAATAAATTAAAACGAAGCAATAAAACCAAGGAGAAATTATTTCTCAAGACTTGTTTCATCTCATTACTTTACATTACGTTCCTCCATTAAAAGGTTTACTCTCAGAATTCTCTAAATACGCGTATTAAACTCCACAAAGCTGACGGATTCTCTTAGAATTCATTAAACCTTCCAACCACTATAAAACAAAGTGAATTATACATTGTTCTAGCAGCGGTACCTGTTATAATCTTTTCACGAAATTATGATATAATTATAATCTTTTTATGATATTTCGCATGATTCTCTCCACTAATGCTACCGGTTGTTCCGCAGGTTTTCATCGTGCAACACGTAGATGTGTGCATGTTCAGCAATGGGAAATTCAAGAACGTGGTGGCCTTGCTGTCGTCGCAAGAGGGATGCCCGATAGGTCCCGGAGTTTCGCTGAGGAAAAGCTACACGCTTAGACCGATCAAAGGCTCGACCAAAAATTGGATTGCTTTGGAAGACAGTTACACGAAGGCGGAGGCGACGTTAGCCTCCACCGTTATTTGCCCTGGAAACGGTCCAGAGGATAGAAACGTTTTTGCCATATACGTTTCCTATTACGTGAAGGTAAGCCACCTTTACAAACAAAAAGATATTATAAGCGAAAATTGCTTCTTCGCATGTGGATCGTATGAGCGAGGTAATTTACGAAACTTAAACTATTCGTAAGAGCAGTCAATCATTTTCATCGAATAGCGGATATTTATGCATTTACGAGTACAGAATGTACAGAATGATATGCAAAGCTACGTATATAAAATATCGCAACCAAATTTTTACTTAATTAAATCCCACTTTTTTTATCTCTATTCATAAAAATACGAATCTCAATGAACGTCCGATGTTTTTTCTCTCTTTTTTTTTTTAATAATCACATTAGGCTTCGATTCATCTTATCATCCTTACAGGTAAAGCTACTAATTTCAACAATGGGCGGAGAAGTGTCGCTTAAGTTACCGTTCACGTTAATGCATAGCAACACTGATCCGGATTTAGTGGGCTTCCCGTCCCCGATCAGAGAACCGAGAGTTTTAGGGAAGCCGAACGAGGAGATTACAGAGAATCTCGAGAGGCAAGAGGATAACGAACATAAATATAAGACAACTAAATTAGAACCGATTAAAGAGAAACTAAAAGAGTCCAGGGATATCGACGTGGATCTGATAGAGCACTACGAGGAAAGCGACAGTACCTGAGACCAGGCGCAAACGACCGATGCATCGTCGCGATCATCGACGAAGAATAATAACGACGCGAGAAACGTGAAAACTTCGAATCATAAGAACTGTAAATTGGGTTTCGATATACAGAGAGCTTGGTGTTGCTTTAGAAGAGCTTCTTAGTAACGCGAAAAGAAGAACAACGTTTAGAAAAATTGACCACGATGTTTTCTTTCTTTCGTTGATTAATTGACGATTGAGGAGATTTTGATGAATACGCGAGTAATTATGAAATTTCAAGTATTTTAAACATTTACGTATCGTTTTATCTTCCTTCATTAACGTCATGTATATATGTCGTGGGAAAACAGATTTATACAAATTTTATTCTCTGTATAATATCGATAGAGCGTAATAATTTTTAATTGCTGAAACTGTCTTACCACAGGTTTGGTAAGGTTGATCGAGAGACGATTTTCGCAATTGAGAATACACTACGGGTTATGCAGTTCCTACCCGCGCCATTCTTATAAATGAAAATCGTACTGCCCTTTAAATTATGTGCAAATCGACGATTATCGAATAATAAGATTATTAAATGACACATTGTAAAATCCATTCATCTACATACTTGACAGAATCAATCATAAAAATCAATCTATAAAAAATCGAATATCTCGAATCTATTTTTTTAGGCAGAAAATATCTCGGTATTATCTCGTATTGTCTTTTATTAATTGTGAAATGAATGTTTTATGTAATTAAATAGATTACAAAAGTCATTGTACCTTGATAGGATAAGATAATCCAAAGGCATGTTTTACAATGATTTGTGCCTGACTTATGGATTTTATTGCACGTGTATAGGCACATATGTATGTAAAACTGTACAGATTATATCGTTATTTATGTAAATAATAAATTATATGAATATGATTGTACAAGAATATATGTGAAACACTAACCTATGAACCTTCTAAATAATTTACAACTATAAATAAAATTTTTGTCTAAGATATTTATAAGTCTTATAACTTTCCATTTCATACTCACCACATATTTTACATAAGAAGATACTTCGCATAAAGATATTTCATATAATAATATTTTAAGCAAGAAGGATTGTTTCAGCGCAAAAACATCAAAAAATTATAAACATTTCATAATGATTACTTACAATGCCACTGAGCTCTAGCATAACCTCTGACGATGAATTTGCTGACTTTTACACGTTCGTCATAAACGCCGACCAAGATGTATTTAAATTTTCCATAACGATCGATATCCACATCAACTATTTTATCCAGTAATTCTGACATCGTGACAAGCTGTCTATTATTTGAGAACACCGCTGAAAAGAAACAAGTATCATAAGCAACATAACCTATCGCTGCATTAGCTCGTTACTTTCATTCTACCGGACAAACATATCAAAAGCATATTTGAAAGCAATACACATTAATCGTTGTTTAAGTATTTTATCAGAATATTCAATCAGGTTATACATTTTTTTATAAATACCTTTAAAAATAAGACGCCGGGTGTTGAAAGCTCTAATTCCAAAATTCTTTAAACTTGTTACTACAGCCATTTATGAAACTGTACGTTAGATGTCCTTGTTGTATTTCGAACACTAAAAAGAGACGTAAGTATATATGTATGATACAGAAATGATGTTTACTAAAATACAACTCACGTGCATATCGTGTGCAATAATGTGTTAGGTTTTAGATGTAAAATGACACTGTGAAGCAAACGTATAAAAAGTAAATGGTTCGGTTTGATACTTGTGTATCAATCTGCACGTGTTTCTAACACATTTTACTATTTCATAAAGATTAATAAGTGCTATTATAACCATAAAATATTCAGTATGTCAGCAGTACAAACAGTGACTAAATATGTAACAGACGCGAGACTGGTATACAGCGCATTAAATGGTGTAGTTGTGATTTATAAACCTGCATCTTTACACTTCAATAGAATGAGAGAAACGATTATCAGCAACTTATGCAGAGGTTATGATATATCCTTTGTTTATAACATTTTCTTGTTTGATAGAATTTAACCAATTTACTAAGACAGAAAGTAAACCAAATTTAATAGATTTAAAGAATTTATTGCTTGTAGATTTAAATGACATGTATACGAGGCCAACAATGAAGCACGTAGCTATAGAAGGAGACACAAATAAGCATATGAAAGTGGTTGTTCGAAATAGTTTTGCAGACCATCCATTAATAACAGGACCTCGTTATCAACCAAATGACTTTAAACTTGCTGCTTCAAAAATTCTGCACCAGGACATATCTGGTGTTGTACTTTGTGGAATTAACAAGGGTAATCGATTGATTCATAAAATAAAAACATCCAAAAGTTTAAGGTTTTACAGGGTAAAAGGATTATTAGGAGAGGCAACAGATAATTATTTTCATACTGGAAAAGTAGTAGAAAAATCTACATACGCGCACGTAAAACGCGGTCACCTTGACAAGTTATGTAGCTCGATGCAATCTTCTCATCAAAAACAAATGTTTCAGTATGTTGAGATTTAATGGACACTTAGAAACAATTATATACAATGTAACTCTATTATATTTTCATATGTTTATAGATTGTGTGGTGTAGATATTCAGAGCCAAGCTGCATACGAACTAGCAATTAAAGGCCCAATTAGACCAGCAGATCCTAATATCCCTATGGTATATACTATTAGATGTGTAGACTTTTCACCCCCAGAATTTGCATTAGGTAAATATATCTCACTAAATAAAGTTTTGAAGTAATAATAGAATTTGTAAGAAAATTACATTCTATATCTCTTATAATGTTGTAGAAATTGTTTGCACAAATGAATATGATTTGTACCTGAAAACTATTATTCATGAGCTAGGGCTGAAGCTTCGTAGCAATGCTACTTGTACTCAAATACTTTGTATACAAGATGGTCTGTTTAATATACAGCATGCATTGTTAACAAAGCATTGGACTCTACAACACATTGTAAACAACATGCAAATGTGTCAACAAATTATAGATCAGAATGAAGATTGCTTACATCAGAAAAACCCTGCATTAGTAAAACCTGCTTACAATCCTATGGAAATTTAAGTATTGAATAATCATGTTAAATAAATATTTATTATTTGTTATATTACAGTAGTATTTATTTTGATAATTATTAAAAGTTTATTATATCTATCATCAGTTATACAATATCAATTACTATATACATACATCCAATATAAAATAACACTTCAACTGCAACAAATTAACTTTCATTGTCGGTTACGCTTCGCTACGGCTTCTTTTAGATCGCTGACTAGTATCAGAATCATCGTGTCTATCTGTAGGTTTCATGGATCTTCCCCTTGTTTTATGTTTATTTGGCCACTGTTGCATTTTCATACTCTTCGCTATTACACGTTTTTGATGATCTAGCTGTGGAAACAAATCTGTAAAAGAATAAGTAAAATAAAGTAAAAAGTTATATATTTCCAAATTTCATTTCAAATATTTAATTTAATACCTTGAGATTTTTCTAAAGCTTCTTTTGCTGAATTCATCTCTGCTTCTTGAATACTATGACCTGATGCCTTTGCTAATCGTTTTCCTTGGAAATATACAGCAACGGTATAAACTCTTGTATTTGTTGGTCCTTTACACTCAATCACTCTAAAAAGAAAATTGAATCACAATATTGTATATTGTATTATGTATATTTCTTGTAATATATATAAAAACATTTAAACTTGTGTGACTTGGACCTACTTGTATACAGGAATATCAGGTTCTCCACCATCCATTGTTCTTAATGTTAAGCAACATTGCTGCAATTTACTCTTTGGATCATTCCAATCTTGATTCATAATGAAATCCTGTAAACGTGGGAAGAAACATACGTCACAAAAGACACGACAAAATTCTAAGCCCTTATCGACGTAAAGAGCTCCCAGAAACGCTTCCAATAAATCTGCCCTGTCTTTTGTCTTTAATTCGGCTTTTGGATTGCCATAAAGTGCATACTGAGTCATCCCCAAATCATCACATACTACAGCTTGAGTTTTATTATTTACAAGAGAACTTCGTAATAACTGTAAAATATAAGAATATTGTATATAATATGAGAGTACTTTCTCATGTCTTTATGAAAAAAAATTATAGTACTACTTACAGATAGATGCCCTTCATGATGCTCTGGAAAATATTTGTATAAATATTCGGAAACTATCAATTGTAATACAGTGTCTCCTAAAAATTCTAAACGTTGATTAGAACCCAGCGTTAAGTTCGTGTATCCTATACTGCGATCGGTAAATGCTCTAGCCAAAAGACGGATATGAGTAAACACAATACCAATAGATTCTTCAAATTTTGTTAATTTCTAAAAATAAGATAGAAGCTGTCAATATATCATTAAATACGAAATATTTTTTAATACTTACTTGCAACAGTTCAAAACTTGGTATCCATTGTCTATCACCTGTTGGTTCCTGCTCTTGCAAAGGATGCTTTGGGTAATTTACCCAAACTTTTCCGAGATCTTCTTCAGTCTTGAAAAGTGTTTCGCCAAAAACTCTATCTGCAACTTCTATACCACCATCAAGAAATAATGAACCCATTAATGCCTCAAAACAATTTGCCATTGCATGTCGTAATTCTAAATCATGGCAAAGATCACTTCCGTGTGCGTACAGCATGTATTCCTCTAGATTTAATTTCTTTGCTAATACAGCGAGGTGTTGATTTTGAACAATTGCTGCTCTGTAAGTAGCCAAACCACCTTCTTCTAAGTCAGGAAACATATGAAATAAATGAATCGATGTTAGAAATTCTACTACTGCATCTCCTAAGAACTCCAATCTTTCATTGTGCGCTATCGAAGATTCAGTTTCGGTTCTCGCACCAAATCTTGACATTATATTGATTAATGTATTAATACCACGTTTTCGAGTATTCATATAATGTATTCGCCGATCACCATATTCCGGTTGTCTTATTCCACAATTAGTCAAAGAATTCCGTGCATGATCTGGATTTGTACCAAAATTTTCACGGTAACTAGGATGCGTTAGAGCTAACTGAAGAAGATATCTGTTTCTAAATTCATAGCCTAAGGTACACTCTAAGTTATCTAAAGATTTATGAAATCTTAAATGACAAACAAGTACTGGAATTAACATTGCATGTTGTACTATATCACACATTATTCCAGTTCTATAAAATCCTTCAGAACTAACATCCACAGTAACATCACGTTTCATTTTGCTTTGGGTTCTTAATTCCTGGAGCTTATTCTCTTTTGCTTCTAACTTTCGTTTATCTTCAAACGATGGTTTTGGCATATTAGCCAATAAATGACGAAATTTTACATAGTCACGCCAAGCTTTTTGGTAACTGAAATAAATAAAAACAATTTAAATATTACCTTTCGTCAAAGAAATAATTTCACAGCAAAAGATATTTACTCTGCATTTCCTGCATAACTAAGTTGTGGTGGTCTAATTCCAAAATGTACAATTTCAGGGTACGCAATTACACCAGGTGGCTGATCTACTTGGTTCCTATCTAACTGATCTACACGAACACTGCATGGTTTTTTTCCAGGATATGTAACAATCATACCCTTTACTTCGTCCGCAAAATTTTGCCATTTATATTGGGGCATCTCTACTAACCTAGGTAGATCGTCTGGATCTATTAACAATTTACTACTTTTGATTAAATAATTTAAAACCTCATTCATGGATAGTATTTCCTGTCCATTGTCAGCTAAATCGCGAACGAATCTTGGCATAAAATGAAATTGACCACAACCTGATTTATTTTGTGCAGCTTGTAAATCAAAGTCTGTAAGTTCTAATATTTCTTTAAATAAATAAGTTTCTGAAAAAGAAAGAATTTTTTATAAACATGAAATACATTCAATCATGTAGTAAATATAACGAAAGAAAACTTACGGAAATAGTCCAATTCTTCAATAATAAAATTTTCTGGTAACTTCTCATCTATGTAAAGGATTGTATACTCAATGTTAAATCTTATTACTTTACAAGTCGGTAATTTTACGAGAGGAAAATGCGAGAGCATAGAAAACCCTTCAAATATAAATTCGTGCTCATCATGCTTAATAATTGTTGGTGTTTTAGTAAGAAAGTTTGTTGGGGGGCTAATTGTTATTCGATAATGATATAATTTATCAGCATTATTTGTATTTAAATCACATTTATTTATTGCACCCTCTCCAGCATAGATTCCATGTCTAATACCGGACCTTCTTGATTTTGCGCTACACCTACACAATGGTCCATCATTCATCTGTAATACCAAACAATTTTTTTTAACGTTAATCGCACGAAACATTACAAAAGATTGAAAAAGAAAGATACTTACTTCTCCTGGATCATTAAACCACATTTCGGGATGTAATCTTTGTGGATGTTGTTTCTTTGCCATTAATTCTTCCATTGTTCTGTCATCTTCATCCATTGAACTATCACTGTCAGAAGAAGAGCTACTACAAGCTTCAGATTTGTGCCTGCATAAACGAGCTCTAGTTTTTCTTGGGGGTGGTTCATAAGGAGGCTATACGGTAAAAGATTTAAAATATTTTTAAATATATAAAAATTTTCTACATATATTATATTACTTGAAAATAAATATACCTGTAAAGCTCTTGCAGCTGCAGCTCTATTTAGTAATACTTTCTTAAATAATTCACATAACTCTTGCAGTTTAGGTGTACCTCTCATTATTTTTGGGTTGCTTTCATCTCTATTATAATATAAATCTGCTGGTGCAGTACGTGTCCATACTTTTCTTGCATTTTCCATGATACCTTCAGGTCCCATTGCAGATAGTTCATCCATTTTCCTTTCTATATCCTTACTTGTTGCACAATAGTCTTGCCTTGAGATATAACACAGAATGAATTAAAATTGTATAAATGTACATATATGTATATAATTTTTAAAGATGTACTACATTACTCAGATACCTATATTTTTCTAGAAGTAACTCTCTTTCAGTTCTATCCCTGTTAATGGGGGGATTATTATTTGGACTAGCAGTTCTAGATGAGTAAGATTCTTGAGATCTAGATCTCTTCCTACTTCTATAACTTGTATATGATCTCTGAGAGCGTGAAGTATGTAAATTGTTTTTTCTGTGTATTGATCTTCTGTCAGAGTCTTCTTCACAATGTAAACGCTCTCTAGAGACCGATCTATTTTTTGGATACTTTGAATATTTCTCTCTTTGGGAATCATGCCTCGATCTATATGGTGATCTGCTTGATCTACTCTCCCTTGACCTATTCTGTGGACTTCTGGAACGTTTTTTACTAATTGAATAACTATTAGAAGACTCTTTGTCTCTATATCTCCATTCAAACCTTTTATTTTTTTGAGAATCATTAAATTTTACATATGATGATTTTCTATCATCTTCTTGCACTTTATTTGTTTCATACCAAGAATTTTTGCTACTTTGTGGTTTATTCCAATCAGACGAGTAGTTATTGGACTTCCATTCTGCATTGTCATTGTTATGATATGCGCTTCCATCATCCCAATTTGTGTTAAAATTACTTACAGGTTGAGAATAGTTAGACATTCCATAATTTTGATTGTTACATTGTAGTTCCGTTGGAGTTTGATAAGGAACATCATAAGAATTTGAAACTTCATTTTGATAACATGTTCCCATAGCATGATACGGTGGAATAAAATTTGCACCTTTATTTTCGGGCAAAGTAGAGACCGGTATATTATAGGATGGTGGTGGCTGACTAAAATTTGGAGGTGGAAAATTTGGGGGTGGCACTGAATAATATCCCATATTTTGCGGCTGAGAAACTCCTGTGCCCCAAAAATAAGATTGACCAACATTTGGAGGAGGATTTGCCATTTTCTATAACCTCACCTGAAATATGTTGACATGAAATATTAAACTACATGAGTAAAACGGAACATATTTGTTTTAATAATCATTGATTGCAAATATAAAATATATAAAAGGTGATGTTGCCTAATATACAGGGTTTATAAAACTAAGTGAAAAATATGTATTTTTACAATCTAGAATCTTCCATGATATAAGGGAATTTCGATGTTAAATCAAATTATAAAAGTTATAGAAAAAATATGAAATTTAGATAAATAATACACCTATTAGAACACTATTTCGTGTTGTCAGTTCGATACGACATCTAAATGTAAAAGAAAGAATCTCTCATGCACTATAACACCATCTTCTGGTTGCATGGTAAATAAAATTCAAATTACATAAAAACAGCTAGGGCATTGTGCACAATTATAACAATTATATACAATAATTTTTATGCAATGATTTATGTAGGATACTTTTTTTATTTTAGTAACATTGATCGATATTAATGGATCGAATCGTAATATTTTATCATATTATTATGATATATTATTCTAGTTACTCGATAACATTCTATAGCATTATATCTATACTCTAGCTATACTCTACAGAAGAATATAAAAAAGATATTTTATTATTGCGATATAATAGCTTGTAGCAGCTTATAATCTTAAAACATTTTGATCATAATATACATATTAATGAATCAAAGCATATATACATTAATATCTCGAATAAATTGTAATAATAAATATATAACTATTATTACTTTATTTATTATTAGTTGTTAGATAAATTATTGTTAGGTGATACATATGGTATAGTATTATGCGATATATACAGAATTAACATTATTTATAATTTCTGGTAGCCATATTCATCCTGTATGTTTAACATCCAACATGGGCGTTTCTTTTGTCGTCTGCAAAGTGTCAAATACTTTGCGCACAACAAAAATGCTCAGAACCAGTGATACTTTTTAGCTGTTCAGAAAAGTTAAAAAGTCGTTCATGATTCTTACCATTGCCAAACGCTTTGGAGTGAACGTACGACATATACTTGTTCAAGAAAATTGTAATTTTACTCGGTGTTGGCTATGACTCAGTACCAAAGGGCATCTTTTCAAGGTATCGCGACTTTGTTCGAATAATTAAGTTAACATCGAAGGAGATAAAGTACATGGCCTCTGTGAGATTGAAAATTACAATTTCATTCGTCAAAATAATATGAACCCCATTTAAATTGACATTAAATTGCTGCTATAAAATGAGAAGGTTATGCTTGATCGTAAAACGAAAATTACGATATTAAAGTGTTTTTAAATAATACAATTATTTGCTGCACACGAATAATACGAAGTCGCAAATCCTGAGTGAGCATATATTGTTGGCTTAAGATGTATCTAATATGAGAAAAGTGGATTGACTTATTTGGTATCAGAATCAGCTGATTCCTACATTGACAAAGGATCCCTGATACTTTCGATGTTTAACGAATGAAGAATTGAATTATCTGATGTCGAAAATAGTGATATATGAAGGATATACATATATATCATATTTTTGAACATATAGTTTCTTCGTTATTCTAAAAAGATAAAGATTGAAAGATGTCAGGAAACAATTCTGCTACAGTAGGTACACTTAGAGGTGGTAATCTACAAAATCGTAATTCTCAAAGATCTACACTTTTAAAAGTGGTGATTCTGGGTGATGGTGGTGTTGGCAAATCTTGTCTTATGAATAGATTTGTATCGAATCACTTTGATGAACATAGTTTTCATACAATTGGAGTAGAATTTTTAAACAAGGATATTGATATTAATGGAGAGGCATATACATTGCAAATATGGGATACAGCTGGACAAGAAAGATTTAAGACCCTTAGAACTCCGTTCTATAGAGGCTCTGATATTTGCCTTTTAACATATGCCGTAGATGATAGAACAAGTTTTAAAAATTTAGCACTTTGGAGATCTGAATTCCTTTATTATGCTGATGTTCAAGAAGGATCGACATTTCCATTTATAGTTGTTGGGAACAAAGTAAGCAAGAATATTTACGAAAAAGGGAGTAATATTACTAGTAATATTTACAAAAATAATTTTTACAGGTGGATGTTCCAGATTCTGAGAAACAAGTTTCTACGGAAGAAGCTCAAGCTTGGTGTGCAGAAAATGGGGACCCTCCATTAGTAGAAACATCTGCAAAGGATGCAACCAATGTTGAAGCAGCATTTGGTGCAGCTGTTGCTGCTTGGGCACAACTTGAAGCTAGACTAGAAAGACCATTAGTAGAAGATACTGTTGATCTTTCAAAACAACAATCTCCTCATCGTTCAAGTTGTTGTATGCCTGTGTCTGGTGCTGAGTAGGTTACAGATACAAGATTTTAAATATTTTTTATGTTTTCACAACATAATGCATGAAACATATTTCTCAAGATTCACAATCATAATCTAACTGGAATGAATGAGAAAGAGGTAAACAAATAATTTTTGTGATGCATACTGACAGTTTTGGTATGGACATATAGAATTCGTTTATATTTGAAAAGAGTATGACATGTCGCAAATTGTACCAACACTTATAAATTATGATTAATGTATTTAGGATATATAAGGATATTATATTATATAATTCTATTGTTTCCTTTGACATAAACAATATTCATTTCTGGTTGAACGGTTTGAACTTAATGTTTAAAGAGTAAGATCATTGGCAACACAATTACAAAAAATGTAAAATATTCAAACACCTAATTACATACTGAGTTGATAACGAAGACAGAAATATTTAGTATCATTGTTGTAGTGACAGATTTGCTGGTAATATACTTTTTCTTTTAGGTCTAACAAAATTATTTGAAGAGATTTCTTGCCTGTCTGCAATACTTTCCTCATAATAAGGTGAATTTTAATGCTGAAAATAGTTTTTGTCTATTTTATTTTTAGTGACACTAAGTGTTTCTTCCGTTGCCAATGTGAACGTATATAGATATTTTTATAAATTCATATGATTTTATTTATCCTTACAAACATTTTTCAGTTTCGTTAAAATATGCAAATTGAAGTTATATTTACGCGGAAAAAAATAATACTTTATGGTTGATATTTCCAGAATACAACTGTAAACTGTAAGGTCAAATTGAACGTCCTGCTCGTATCACGCTTTGTGCAGTTCGCGAGCTACAGACAGTATTTTAAGTATTTCAGACATTATTGGCTTGTGATAAAATAATAATAGTAATAACCATGATCATCAACTGCTTTACAAATAAGGAATAGATATAAAATGTAATTTAGCTTTGTAATCTAAATTTGCCTTATCTTCGCAGCACAAACTAAGGGCAGTGGTAGTAATATATATTTATCACAAAATCCTCTGAATCATCTTTATATATACATATATATATATATATGATTTTGAAATATCTACACTATAAAAAAATATACTCTGCTGCTCTTGGAATGTCCTGCAATCGGTGTTTAAAGATTTTCCTACAAAGTGAATAATATTATAAACACATCAAATAAAGCTTTTTGTACAACCTTGTACGTATAAAACGTATGAACGCATTTCTAAAGCACTGTAACTTACTTAAAAGCTACCTAACACTTTAGCGATGCTTTACATACAGGAAATAAATAATATATAATATTATTATAATTTAAGTATTATTTTCAATGACAAGGCTTGCATTAATTATAAATGTGACATGCATGCTGGTGCTTTTTGTATAGCTACATATCGAATATATAAATTTGTGGCTTCTTATTCAACAATTTGTTGATTTAAGTGCAAAATATACATATATATATATAAAATTTAATCATATCAAGGTGAAGACATTTCACCAACTGTTATAATATAAAATATCAGTTCTGTATTACTTGAATATATTTTACGTCATCAGTACTACATGAGTTTCATTAATAATTTTATAAAAATATTTTATTCGATTATTTTATTTAATTATTATATATTGTCAGCCAAGATTTTTACGGTATGTCTTAAATATTAGTTAATATCTACATTTTATAAATTTTACAATCTAAAAATCGATCTTGCAACAGAAACAAGAACAAAAAAAAGTAGAGGAGCTCTGTGCTTCTTTAAAAATGATAAAATATATTGGCAAAATGTTTTTCTTGTATTTCATGTGATATTATGTTATATTTTACAAATAACAGTAGTTTATGGACTACTTGGTAATAATACAATCGTTGATAACGTTATATTATAACAATACATCATGTATGCAATGTTCAAGATATCACTGCACACTTTTTTCCAAACGTTAAGATTAATTTATAAAATACATTACAATAAAAAATTGAAAGTGGCCGTATAAAAGTTTGGAGAAAAGTGTGCGTCCATCTTACGATACTTTCCTCATTTAAACCTTTTAACAATATTTACAAATTAGGTGCGCTATGGCTATCCAAATCAAAGATTTAACGTTCCAGTATTTTTGTATACAAATTTGCATTTTATAGATATTTTTTATTCAATAATAATTAAGTCATGCGCTATTTTTCTCAACGAACAATTGAAAATTGCATTCTATATGCATAGGAATAAATTTAAACTGAGAACATTTTCTTTATATATTTGTGTAAATACGAATTTAGAATAATTATATTTCCTGCACACATATACTACATGTAATTATTTCAAAGTTCTTCCGGTCAGAATGAACTTTTCGGCAATGTACAGTGATGTACATTTTTGTTGTAAAAACACAATGTATTTTAAATACATAAACAACTAATGACAATGTTCTGTAACATCCACAATAACAGATTTTTTCCACCCAAACAAAAAATAACCAATTGCTGCACCAAATACTACAGCAAAACACAACCAGACATTGTAAGTCATGAAGATCAGCATAAGGAAATACGACAGCACAATTTGCACAATGTGTAAGAACGTTTGGAACGTATGCATCCATGATAACATTGTGGGCCTGCACAAATTTATATGAAATGGATTAATTCTTGGACATCAAAAAATATATGCATAATGCTATTAATTTATCATGCTAAGCAATATTAACCATAGAATTAAACGAAATTGCAACTAAATAACGCAAGAAGATTATACAGTATTACCTCGCATTTTGACCAATTCGACTGACAATTCGATACCGATCGTGTGACAGTACAAGAGAGAGATTTATATCAAGAATTTTGCCTGGCAAATACCGATAGATAGAGCGAGATACTGATACTGATACTCGGAATGTTTATGTTAAATAAATACTACTAAAGGCGGTTAAATACCACAAAGGCGGTTCCATAAAATGTTAGGGATAACGTCGGTTGTAGAAAATCCCACGATCCAGTGCAACATTAATACCTTAATCGTTTATGTACGTATTTCTCCAAGAAATAGAATTAAAAAAAAAAAATGGATTTTCACAGAAAAACAATTTCAAAACTAATAGAAAAAAAGAGCAAATCAAGAATTTCACTCCTCATCTACTTACGGTTGTTTGTGAATTACTTCTCCAACCATACTAAAAAAAAATATATATATATATAATCATACAGCAATTTTTATGTATTCAAATAAAAAATATCGAATTAATACAATCGTGAATTCCTAAACTGCCATCCATTGTACATCTGAGAGCACGAAACTTACTGTACGACTCTGTTATCCTCGGCTACGACATTTTTCTCTTGTGGCATCGTGACGCTTCTGTATTGAAGGGAATTATACATTTTCCAGAATAAATATTCCCTGTAATACTTTAAACCCTCGTAAAGTGCGGCCATGATCATGATACCGATCATCGATCCTATGAGACCACTGATCGACGAGATTTTCCACGATTCGAATAATACGTTTTCACAGTATCCTCCATGGAAGACCATCTATAAATGAAATTTTTGTATACGATAGTCAGCATCAGAGTTTTATCCGTGGATGATACATACCGACATACCGTGCATCCCCATATTGCCACATGCTTCCGAGGCAGCGGTAAGGTGACTTTCATGGTTCATACTCCCGTGATCCATATTAGTATGATCCATAGAACTGTGCATCATACTTTTATCCATATTTGAATGATCCATAGATTCATGAGACGCGTGATTAACGTGGCTTGGATGCCCACTCGATACGTTCATCATATGGGCCATATGATCGTGAGACATCTACGAAGTAAAGGTGCAAATATTCCAAACTCGATAAAACAAACAGTTTGTTACACAAATGATCTGTTCAGAAAGAACAAAGAAGTGCAGATTGTTTGATCGGTCTAAAGTTGTCAATATTTCGTTCTACAAATACTTTAACAAGTGAAAATCCTAACATTTAGCAGGAAGTAGTTATGCTTATGTCATTAAATAGTTATCAGCTTTTACGCATTGCACAAAAAACTACCATTACAGAGGACAATCGTCATTTTTCTTATTGTTAATTCGTGAAAGTAACATGTCATAACTGGAAGGTCGAAGTAATCATTCAGAACCATACTATCGAACTATAACCAATGCGGTATAAACTTAACGGAAACGGGGTGAAAATATCGTATCATACGAGTGATAAAAAAGATGTTTCAGTGCAAATTAGCAATAGTCTTTTTTTTTTTATTATCATAAACTGTAAAACTGAATCATAATTCTAAGAACACTTGTTACTCAAATGCTCGATCCGTTGACTTTGTAATGAGAACATTTGCCGCATTACGCGGCATGATAGCGACAAGTCTTCGTGTGCATGCTTAAAACGTCAAACTCGACGTCTGCATCAATAAAACTGTAATTATATGCATTAACGAAACATCGATGTTACAAACCTGTTTATTCGTTTAAAAAGGAACGGATAAACTTTTTGACTTGTTGTTAAATTACTTCCTCACTTCCTTCTTGTCAAGGAAACGATGTTACGTAACTAACCGTTCAAGAACAAGAAATTTGATGAAACTTCGAAAAACCGCTACCGCGATCGTTCATGAATGGACGATCATACTTTTTGAGCGGTCAACAGCGTCTTTTTCTAATTAATACTGTGATCCTTTTGTAAAATCATTCGTTCCCCTTCGGCAATCTGCCAAGCTAGCCGTGAACGAGTTTGGAACAGAAGTATAAGAAGAAACGAGTTCATGACTGGCAATCGGGCAACACGAACAAAGAGAACGAAAGAGAAAAAAACACGAACCAGCGTACTTTCTAAAGTAGATTTCTTCGGGATAGTTCGTGAGGTCTCACATAGATCTAGTAGCTAACATTCCATTCTAGGAGCTTGTACATTGTAGTCGTAGGATTAAACTCCAGCATTCATTACGTTCACCTATTAAAATTGAGGTCTGCGATTAAAAAAATTTCATAGCTTTCAAAACGTGTGATTATGATGTTATCGGGCATTGACGATTCGTAAAAAAGAATTATATTTTTTATTACATTGTCGGGAATAAAATTATTAAAATATAGATTGTTTATGGTATGGTAAGGTGAAAGGTCGAAGAAATTTAACGAAACTGATACGCGCGCGTTTACGATCGCCGAAATACATTTTACGTACATTTAAAGATAGAAGTACAGAAACGTACTTGTATCGTTATAGGTGTATCAAGGATTTAACCAATTATAGAAATACATTTTTCTTGAAATCACAATTGTAAACGCTGAATGTGAATGCTTTGAAACACGATGCGCCCAGAAGATTATGCTTCTCGTTGGAAGAGAAACGCGATATGTTTTGTACTGAAAACGATAATCCGTAAAGAGCGTCACGAAATGCATTTTATTTTGTACTGCTAATCGTGAGTACTTCGGTAAACAATATGTCTAAAAGGTATATAAACATTTTTCTTTGGATATTGAATGTTAGGTATTATATTCAGCCCTAAAACAGGTTATTAATATTGAACGAGAAACTGCATTTCTCATACCTTTTGTTTTCAATTTTTAAATTTTCGTACAGAGATATCGTAGGCTTTTAAACATCGTCGAGATAAAAAGTTCATGAACCAAGGTCTCACGTGTAATGATATATAATTTACATAATTTTACTGACAAATTTACTAAAAACAAACAGTATTCTAGGTCACGCGTAATTAAATGAACATTAAAAATACTTTGCAATACTTAAACTGTCCAACCGGAATAAATTACTTTGATTCAGTTTGAATCGCGAGTCGATTGGTTTCGCTTTCTTATCTTTAGACATTGGCCATCTATTTAGTTATTTTATCACCCGACTAAGATTCTATATCTATTTATTCTCGAATAGTATATACATAAAGGGTAGGAAATTGTTTACAAATATAGTTTTGCAATCGAAGAGTATGTATCATCTTTATGACATTTTACACGGTAATAAGGATATATTGCTTTAAACTTTTAAAAAAGACATTCATGTATCGAATAATTACAGTGGACACATGCTATAATATCTCTGAGGGTAAACGAGTCCGATTGTTTTTAACAACATTGGTGTTATAACAGGAAAAAGCATAGAAATTCTACGACATGGAAGGTAATACTGTAGGTCAAATTAATACTGAACATGATACGAGTTTCCCTTTGTTTTCGAGGGGAATTTTATGATAATATAAGAGGGCATTATTTTTAGTGAATAATTTCACCGCCGAAACCACAAGCGGTTAGAACGAAGGATGACTGCGTCGAAAACAGGAAATCTCGCAAGAAAATAATAGAATTAGTGGTAATATAGGTAATCATATTTTTTACTTGCGTTTGCATATCATAATATAAAAAAAAAAGAAAATAATTCAAATATTTTAATCAAACAAAATATTAGGATGAAATATTTACTTCAGAATTCCTACGCTATCGTGTATTTCGGTGACTCCTACACCATTGTGCATAGGTATAAGATGCTCCGTTGGAATCCTTATATTGAAATACCAAGATTCCATTGGAAGAATATGTTTTATAATTTTCTCGGAAGATGTTTCGATTATCGATTTATTCCATTATAGCGTCGCAGTACAACTTCTGTTTAAAAGCGTGAAACAAAAGATTTTCAACGACATTGTACACTTTATTAATCATCAGGCCGTTATATTACATTACATTCTTTTCAAACATTCATATTCTGTGAAATCTTAATAATTTATTTAATACATTGAAATTTATAAGTAATGTAAAATCGAAAACAATAAGAATTGAACGATATTGGTTTCAATTGGATCGATGATGCTTAGTTTCGATTAACTAACTCATGGTACATTGGCGCTGAGATTTGTGGTCGAAGATTGACTCGAATTGGAAACATTAATTTGTCGATTATCTTCTAACCTATAAAGAGAAATATTTTGCTCCTAATCGTAAGAAGTACATACAGTTGCAAGGATCTAATTGACAACGTTCTCGCAGAAGCTGACGACGACAATAATACATTCACTTTTTATCAGTTTGAACTATCACTGTATCATGTGCACGAAACATATGTCGTATACATAAACTTATAGAAGAAAAATCGAAATCCTTTCATTTTCTAAGAACACAATGTTAAAAGTTGAAGACAGAAGTAGAGAAATCAATGTACTAATGACAGACTTTGGAAAGTGTATAGAAATTATATTAACGCTGAAACACGCGAAGGTTTGATTACATGACTATCTTACTGCATACTAGTAATGTGAATATAGCTGTCAATATGGGTCATTCATGTTTAATTTATATCGCAAGATTGGGAATTGTTTATATATATGGATGCGAATTTTAAACTAAATGTACAAAAAGATTACATTATCTATACCAATTAAATCAATAAATACGTCCTAATTCGACGTATAAAATAATATTAACAATAATCGAACATACCTTTATTAAATGGTCCAGGTTATGTTGTAAGAAATGCTTCCTTTCTATAAAAATAGTTGAACGTGAATACAATAAGATAAATAGACACTTTCGCAGATTTCTCTGCGTGAACCGTCGAGCAATCTCTCAGAGACCCATTAATAAACTGCACATAACATTCACGGTTTCCTCCATCGCCGTAGATGTAACATAACGAAGACTCGGCGTAATGGTTTCGGCGGGTAAACACGTGACGCTAGAGCAATGACACCATTACATCTATTCTACAACAGGTGGCGTAATAAGTCACGCTCTGTGTTCAAAACGTTTTGTGAATTTAGACAAAATTGCAATGTAAAAGTTAATAAGAATACACGAAGATTTAAAGAATGATATAAAAGATTAATATTGCGAAATTATGAAAATATTTATTGTTTTCTTGGCCACGCGAACGAATACATTCTTTCTTGAAACATTTAAAAGCGTTTGAATTGGAAGTCTTAGGCGCCGAAACTCAAGCACATAACTCGCGCGCATGCGTAGCGGTTTGTGTATTTCTAACAGTTTGACAACGGAAATACGAACGATCTCGACAAACAGCGAAAGAAGTTCTAAAATGTCGATTATCCCTTTGTGGCCAAATTTACAACCAAGAGCAACGGATCCTCTATGGTTCAATGCCGATAGACCCTGCGACGATGAGAGCGAAGTAGCTGCGCTCGAAGCGGAACATCAAGCGTGGGCGAGTACACTACGTATAATCTAATAAGCTTGTCTTACAAATATGAACTATTTCTATCTAAATTGTTCTTTTATCTCTATCTGTCTTTCAGAGGGAACATGTCCGAGTTCAACGTTATGACCATATCCCTATCGGAAAAACAGTCAGCGACGTAAGTTAACCTCACATTTGCTTTCGTATTATACTTTATTTCGTTATTTAACGAATTTATACGTACTTGATTTTTTGTTGTTTAATACGTTGGTTCATACAGATGCGTGGAGCAAAAAGAAACGTACTTTTCAAAATTGCTAAATTCTTTATCGCTACGATAGCGATCCTACTTATTGTTAGTAACGTCATTACCGACTGTCGAATAAGTCGACGAATATAGATTAAGCAAATATCGCTTGGAAAATGAAACTTATGATAAATTAGTTTTCTATATTTAGTATGTTTTTGTTAACCGACGTCAAAATAGAAATTATTAATTGTATATAGTTCAGAGGATCAGAAGAAGAGGAGGAGGAAGAAGAAGAAGAAGAGGGAGAAGGAGAAGAAGAAGAAGAGTCAGATACCCATGAAGAAGAGGAAGAAGAATTAGACGAAATTGATATGGAAGTAAGCTATTCGCATCAACAACAGACATCCAGTCCAACAGATACAGTGACAGATCCAGTATCCATCAGAATGGTCAGCACACATACTGGTCGTTATTCTTAATTAAAATATCGTAGTTCTTGTTTAACTTTAACCTTTATCTAGCTTCCCCGGCAAAGAAATATTACGCAATCTATTTATTTCTTAAGAATTAACAATGATATGTAGGTATATGTATTTATTTATCACTAGAAAATTAAGATCTTGCAAATATAAATAAAGAATCGTAAAATTTTTTTTACGTGCGAAACAGTGCGGTATTAAAATTCATAAATAGCACCGTCCGATGGATTATGACGGTATATTCTAGCGATCCTGTCATAAATAAGCGTCATTATTATCAGTAGTCAGCGTTTTGGAATCACCACGTGCTAGGTCAAGGACCCCCCGACACGCCGAGTAATGCAAATCGCGCATCGTCGGAAAAATAAATATCATTCGTATACAAATAAAAAATAAATCTATAAGTAATTTTCCATTTAATTATAATTCCACTCGCTTACATCAGCCGATAAAATAAAAGTAGATCGTTGAAAGTTTTCAATGACAAGAAAATTCGTCCCTATCGTAATGTCTGTATCAGAGTATAAAATTTCTTTGAAAGTACGATCCATGGCTCGTCGAAAGCGATCGAACACAAGGGCTTGCCCCCTATCCCTTTCTCTCATAGCGTGTTCCATCTTTCTCTTTGGAGAACGGGGCAAGTCGGTACCCCGCCTCGCTCGTAAAGGGCCGTGGAACCGCATCATGCTCGACCGGGACACTCTCTGTACACTCCGTATACCTACCTATACTAGATGTAAGTACACGCGAGAATGTATTATATACCTATATACAGCGCCGGCTCTCTCGGCGTGTAACTGAAGTAAAGCCAGGTTGGTGCCCCCGCTAGGGTGAACGAACGGGTACGCTCAGGCAAAAGCGAACCCGTGTGCCTCCTCCACCTCCTCTTTCTCTTTCTCCACCACCTCCTCCTCTAGCAACGACCTCCATCTCCTCCTCCGGTCGAAGATCTTTGCCTCTGATGTCACAGTGGTGGAATTGGAAATTCTTTTTTTTTTTTTCTTTTCTTTTCTTTTTCTTTTCGAATATATACTGGTCCGTTAGGGAACGAGTGCGGCCCCGCTTGCGCGCGCGCGTTCTCGACTGGCCGAAAAATTTTAATCGAAGTCATGCAGCAGTTCTCTCGCGTACGGCGCTTCGAAGCATTCGCTTCGTGGAGAAGAGAGTAAATCGTTTTCGCGATTTTACGCGCACCCGGTGTCCACGGTGGTCGCCGCCGCTGTGAACACGGTGAACACGGAATATTTAATAACGGGCAACGCTAAAAGCGAGTAGCTAAAAGATTTGCAATTTTATCCGAGCAACTGAATCGCTTCAAGGTTAATTTAACTGCACACATTGCGAGCGAACGGGCTAGCGAGCATTTCCATCTCGTGCTTAGTATTGCGCGCATAAATCTCGGGATTTATGAATCGCGAGTTTCGTAGATGGTAATACCCTCCGGATTTATGAATTAATACCGGTCATATTAGACACATAAATCTTAACATTCAGGTAGATGGAATCGTCTATGGGGATTATCCTACCGCTTCGTGATTCTACTATGGCGCATCTCTAGATTACCACTATCAATCTTTATCGTTTGTAAGCTGGACAGAGAGGAAAAAGACGGAAGAACTCGTTCATTCGTATCACGGACCGTATGCTCGTGAAAACGCAAGAGGCCGCGCGTGCTATCGATCGCAATGTTCGATTCGTCCAAGATGGATCCTCCCGTTCGGTAAATTCGTATCAGTCGATTCCTTAAAACGACAACGATCACGATGCAACGAAAAAATGTAATGTCCGTGTTTGCGACGGATGTCTGGCTTCGTCGATCGATAGCGTAGGCTGGAAATCAACGGAGCCTTATCGAATTTTAATGGATGCGTACGGTGCATCGTATATCGTCCAACGTATCGACGAACGTCGAGCGACACGATTTCCACACGCGTGATCTACTTTGTATATACTAATGTATATACTAATGTCTGTTTGACCTACTGGCCCATATACGGCTCGTTTAAAAGTTCCATTCGACCTTGCAGCGATATCGCATCGTGTCCACCCTTTTCTTGAGATTTCTCTAACACCGTTGGCGAGCTGCGGCGATCGAAGCTCGGCCGGTACGAGCTAACTCGGCAGCGTTGACTTAATCGTCGCGCGTTCGACGCAAATACGCAATAAAACGTTCAACCGTTTGCAACAGTTAATGCTCGGTTAGTGATTTACTGCTACCGTGGTGGTTGATCGCGCGTCAACCGATTTCACCGGCAGAATGCAGAAGAGTGCCGCCGTAGGGGGCAGACCTCAACGGCTAATGTCGAGTTAAGCACCCTAACCTGCCTCAAAAGACATTACACGACGTAACAGATAATAAATCCTCTGTTCCAGTGTACCGAGATAGCGAGCTGGAAGAAAATGAGAGTGTCGAGAACGAAGATGGACGAGACGCTTCTCTTTCGACGATTACGAGCCGCTGGGCTTTCGTACGATTTCCTTCTATGCAGTCGGTGAGGACGAAAGCCTTGAGAAAATCGCGTGGTACCGAGTTTAACGTCGAACTCGGAGCTTCGAGGAAACGACAAGCGTGGAACGCAGGATGAGGCGATCAATCGAAAACGCTTAAGCGGCACTGACAGTGGCGTAATACGGTGCACGTCGCGAAAGAAAGCAGGGAAAGTATTCGAACGAGGCGTAAACTCTCAAGTAATAGGAAACACGAGCTAATACAAGCGTTTGATGCTGCCATTGGTCGCTAACAATTACGGATAAAACGTACAAAGCTGTAATCGTTACGGCTATCGACAACCGGCACACTTGCGCTATCGTATATAGATACCGGATAATCGTAATATTTGCAAAAATGTGAAAACAGAAGAAGAAAGAAGTCCGAGTCTCAGAGAGAGAGAGAGAGAGAGAGAGAGAGATGGGGAGAGTCATAGAGATAAGGAAGGATGAACATCGCGAGACAAGGAGCAAGAGGGATCGAAATATTGGAGAGAAATGCACGAAAAGGCGTTTTGGAGCGACGAAGAAAGAGTGGGGAGGCTCGCGGTAGAGAGAGGCGACGCATCGAAGTCGGCGTGCGTTAGAGGGAGAGGAAAGGAGACGAGCGCGAGCAGGAAGAGCGGCACGAGCGAGAGCCGGGGAGTTCGGGAGTACTCGGCCGCTCAGTCGAACGCGCGATTACAAGCACACGAGACGCGTGGGCTCTCTCTCTCTCGACGGCCAGACTGAAAGTGTTTCGTACGCGACCACGTGCCGGCTAAACCGCCGGAACGTAACAGAACGATACACGGCTCCAACCTATACAGTATACATCGAGTACCGAGTGACATCGCAAAAGGACACCGTGCCGGTTGCACGGCCGCGACCATTTTTCCCCCCGTCGATTTCCTCTTCCACCGTCGTTTCACGAATATTCTTTCGATCCTGCTGGATGCACAGAGAGTGGAGAACGACGACGACCGTAACAGAGAACGATCGCGACTTGGAAGATTACGAATCTTCCGACGAGGACGGTGCAGTGTGTGGGTGGTTTGTCAGTTGGTGACTTGAAGTGAACACCGAAGAACCGGAAGAGAGGACCGACGGTCTCTCGGTGACGATCGAGTAGAAGAAAGCTACGCGAATCAGCTAGATCCAGATGTCACGGGCGCGTCCTCGATCGGTGAGTGAGGATCATTACGCTTTATATTATAGTATCCAGAGGATGAATCGCGTATTACTCGCCGAACCATTCGACGTTAGGCTGAAAGATTGTATCTAGAGCTTCGTGAGTTTCTAATTTAATTAGTCATACGTTGCGAGCAGTACGTCAAGGGTTAATAATTTCTGTAATACGTAATTCGCGTTATCTTTCGGTAATGAGTTTCTCGAAGGATTTTTAATCGATCACGTCCGCGAGCTATCAACCGGAAACGCAAAGCCACTAGACGAAGCTAGTAGCGCAACGAGAAGGCGTTTTTTTTTTTTTTTTTTTTTTTCAGCGAAATTGGTGAAATCGGGGCAGGAAGGGATCATTGACCGTATACGGTTTAAGACGGACTAGGACATCGTTGAAAGTTTCGGCGAATCGTGGAAAAAGCGTCGGTTCTCTTCGAAACGACCGACGGCGTCCCAATTCTTTTTCGCGAGTTTTCCAAAGCGTTTCCGTGGATCGCACCGCGGGTGCCATCGAAACGCATTAACCGTGCGATTTCTATCGCGCCTAGTATTCTTGGTACATTGTTTATGTTCCTAGCAAAACACGTTGGAACGAACAGCCTATTCCTTTACTTGGAACTAAAATAGACGCGTAAGATTCCACGTTGAAGTTAAAGCTAGCCGCGCCAGTCAATATTTAACTTTTCCTTCGGGTATCTTTCGCACCATCTATCTAGCTCGAAATCCAGCCACGCAGATCCTATAGTCGCACTAGAGAGTTCGCGGAATTTACGTTCTTACGAAGTTAGACTTCTTTCTTGTTTTCATGCCTTGTGACTTTTCGTTCGCCTCTACACCAGCCTGCATAAAAATTATACCATGTATACACCTATGTACGAAGTTGAAATCGTTTACGATATCAATGAGATGAGTAATAATTAACTTTGTAGAAGCTTCTCGCGCTATGTTTACGTCTTAACGATGCGTCGTATCTTCGTTTAATCTCTCGATGTTCTTTCTCGTCGACGATGCTTCTATTAAAAATGTTAATAACCGCGAAGCTCTTCGTGTTCGTTAATTATACCAGAACGAAAAAAAAGGAGTCTACAGGGAGAGGGGAGAAAGTAGCGACGAAATTAGGAACATTATTGCGCGGTTTCTGGTTACAGAAAGTTAGCGTAAAACGGGTAAGCGTTATGATTATGTAGCGTCACGTTGAACGTATTTATAACGAATCGCGGAAATCATAATTCCGAGGAGACGTAAAGACTATGCCGCGAATTACAGAGAAAGTCCCGTGGAGCTGTGCATACACGCTCGCTCGCTCGCTCGCTCGCTCGTTCGTTCCTGTGTGCTCGATCGCGAACAGTAAAAAATGCACGTTCGATGAAAAGTGAAATTAACGAAATCGCTGTCGAATTCATCGTTTACGGTCTTTTACCATCCATCTATTCTTGGTTATTCGTAACGATCCCTCTCCACCGTCTTATCGTTCCAAGACTCTTTTCTCTTCCTACAATTCCACTCTTTAGATTCGCTTGATCTCGCAAAGAAAAAAACCACGACGCAACGTCTGGTATTTCTCTCTTCTCTTCGACGTGTATTTTTGCGGGCTGTAAAAAAAAAAAAAAAAAAAAAAAA